GAATACACAAATTAAATATTACAAAATTCCATCTCATAAGAAGGTCAGCCCTTAATTTCCTACAGAAGTTTTCAGCAACCACCATAATTCTGATGAAATTAACACAATTGTAAGATTGCACACAGAAAATGGGTGTCAGAGGGAGAGATCATCAAGGAAAAAGGCATAGTAACTAAAACAAAACAAATTAAGCATCAAATTTTCAAAGCAAAACCTCAGCTATATGGGACTGAGTAGCCTCTTCTAGAGTCAAAATGAGGTATCTAAAGGCCTTATAAGTTACAACCATCAAATTATTGAAACTTATTCAAAGAATCCTCTTCCTCCATTCACTTAAGTGAAGTGTGTAATAAATAAAGGAGGAAACATAAACCTAAATCCTTTATCTCAACTGTCAACAATATCCACATTTTCGGCATATATAAAATTCTCTTTTCATATTTTCCAAAATTTTCCTTTTAACATACTAATGTATGGTTCAATAAAGCTTTGTTCTCATCATCTGTTTGAAAAAAAGTTATACAAAATTAAGCTCAACAAAATAAGCCAAGGAAAATAAAGCCTAATATATTATAAATGTATGCTAAAGGACTAAAGTAGCTACTTATGAAATTAACCAAATGCCAACTTATAAGTCATACATAGCATGAACCAAATGAGGCAGAAATTGAAAAGTAATTCATGCCAATTCTTCCCTACCCCCTAAGGAAAAAATACATACAAAAGAGAAGTGGGAGTAATTTGTACGGAGTACTTTAAATCCAAACAAATCAGCAGCAAATTATCAGGTATTACCCTGTAACTAATGCTGTGACAGCTATCTAGGGAGGACATAAGGAATTGTTCCATATCGCCATATCTACAAAGAGCGAAGGAGCTAACTGAACAACTAAAATGAACTAGAATATGAAGCCACAAAAATGTTGTCAAGCCCAAATAGGGAGCACAAGAGTACAAGACAGCAAATTACAGTAATATTTATCCCACTCATAACAGTTCATTACACTAGCATTTCACAAAGATTGAGCTAATAATCAGGACTTTCGGAACTCCAACAGTTATTCAAAAATTCAGCACTATAAATGCGAAAAGACTTCCCACATGAGCACCATTCTACAATGGGACACAAAATCATCCAAAGACAAAATCTTTTCTACCTAATTTGGCAAGTTTATCTAGAAATTCCTAATCAACAACCAGCTTCTTATGCAGACAAAAAACCTATTCAAAACAAATTATTACATTCTTTTCCATTTTAAAGAAAAGTAACAATCTTTCCTTCCTTTTTCCTATATCAAAACAAACTTTAATTAACACTTATAAAAATCACTAAAATTCAAACAACTCCAAAACAATAATGACACCCGTATAAATATAGCATTTTATACATAATTTAGACGAGATTCGATCACGAGCCATGACGGAATTTGATACCATTTCCACAATCATTTAATTCAACAATAAATCGATAAATAGCTAAAAAAAAAACTCAACAAAACAAAATCCTAAATCATAAAAAGAAAAACATAAACCCAATAAAATTAAAGGGAGGAATAGAAATTTACTGATCAAGAGCATCTTTAAGTTCAGAAGTAGCTTCCTTAGTTTCTTCAATAGTAGGAACAGGGCCAAAAACCAATCTGGGTTGACCCGAATCAACCCGGTCAACAACAAATTCATCTTCACCACCAGCAAATTCCCAATCATCAATCTCCCAAACCGGTTTCTGAACCGTTTCTTCAACCGTCAATCCACCGGTTGAAGATGATAACCCAGAAGAAACCGGTCGAACCGATTTTCGAGCCGCTAAATTCACCTGTGTTTCAGCCGCTGCACTCGCGCGAAATCCGCCGGTCATTACTCCGATTCCGGCGACTTTCGCCGCCGCTCTCATGGCTCCGCCGCCTCCCATGGTGAATTTGATTGATTGATTTTTTAGGGTTTACGGAACTTGGGGAAAATTGGAGGATGGATAATAATTTATTATGAGAAAATGGGAATTTGATTGAGTGAAGTAAAGATGGAATAATAAATTGAAAAGTTGGGGAAAATGCGAGAGATATTTTCGGGAATTTTTTCGATTTTTAGAATGGAAATGGAAGTGGATAAGACTTGTTAACATACGCCACGTGTGAATTGAGTGTATCTTTGATTAATTTTTTAAGAAGTTTTCTTGATATCTTGTTTAGTGAGAAGGACTTCCCTTTTGAGAATTTGATTTTATAAAAATAAAAAAAGAGCATTTTTTTTTTTTTGAAGGGTTGAAAATTTAAATTCTGTGGAGATGATGAGAAATGTTGGTTCGTTTTGGGAAATAGATATATAAAAGTAATTTGTTTGTGAAAATTTGACTTTAATTGATTATTGCGTAGTACTCATAGTAATCAAGGTGCATCTTATACTATTGAAGGTATTGATATAATGATACCCCATATATTACAATTATAAAATACGGAGTATGATTAGCTATTTTAATTTGACAAATTTTACTTCCTCAAAAAAGTTAAAAAAAAGGAAAAATTGCCAAAAATAATCTCAACTTTGCTCCGTCCGTCTAGAATAATTCCAACTTTTGATTATTTTTTAATAATCCCAACTTTATACTTAAACCGCTCAAAACAATCCCAAGTGACCGGTGACTTGTCAAATAAGTAATTTTGTTTTTTTAGGTTTAATGTACAAATGTCACCATGTGATTGGCCCAAAAACAAAAAAAAAAATATTAATACTATTAGTATTATTGCTTCAAAAAAAAAAAAAATACTATTAGTATTATTATTATTAACTAATTAATTTTTAAAAAAACCAATCCCTTAGCACCGCCCTTAGGCCCTCCCCTCCAGCCGACGCCACTCCATCCCCCTCCCCTTTCCGGCGCATGACCACCTAATAGGAGAGCGTATGTCGACTTGAGAGTTCAATTGGTCGAAGCTTTCTGAAGTAATATATAGAAGCGCAATTGGTCAAGATATCTTAATTGCTCAAGTAAATTGAAGCTCAAATGCTCAATTGATGTCATACAATTCCAGATTAATCAAGTGATATGAAGGAAAAATATATGGCAGCAACATGGTGTTCAGACTTTTCTACACCAGTTCAGAATGTGAGTGAAATTATGAAATTAATCGATTATACGAACAATGGGTAACTATGACCAAAACGAGATCAAATAGTAAAGGCTTACATTTCAGGAGAGTGGTCGGGGTGGTGCCGGCGCCGAGGGAGGGGGAGGGTGTCTGGGCGGTGGCCGGCGCTTGGAGGCAGGGGGTTGGGTTGGGTGTGTGGTAGTGAGGGTGGCTGGGTTCAAGGCTCTGTTGTTTTTTTATTTATTTATTTATATATATATATATATATATATATATATATATATATTATTTTTTTTATTTTATTATTTTTTTGAGTTTATTTTGATTAATTTTTTTTTTTTGCTTTAAATTTTTTCTAAACAAAAATAAAATGACACGTGTCTGATAACTTGTAATAACAAGTTGGATGATCGGTTGGGACTGTTTTGGGCGGATGGAGTATAAAGTTGGGATTATTAAAAAAATAATCGAAAGTTGGGATTATTTTGGACGGACGGAGCAAAGTTGGGATTATTTTTGGCAATTTTTCCAAAAAAATGACAATTTTTACGATTTAGAGTTATAAAATACTTTAGGATTTGATACACGTAAAATAACATTTCCTCCGTTTTTTTTTTACTTGCATCATTTTGCAAATTGCGGACTCGTAGACAATGAAAAAAGAACCCGTGTAAAAGGGGAGAGATAGAGAAAGTTTATTTTCTAAGTTGCGGACTTGTAGACAATAAAATATGAACCCATGTAAAAGGGGAGAGATAGTGAAAATTTATTCACTAAAAAGAAAGTGATGCAACTAAAAAAAACAGAGAAAGTATATTATTTGAAAAATGAGTGTAATAGTTAAATAATTTATAACAAATGAATCAATTGATTTTGTTAAATATGAAACTTATTTTTTCGTTTTTGGTTGGTAAGGAAAAAGACCCTATCAAGCCGAAACCTCTCCCCGGTTCTCCCGACCCGAATTAGCGGGTTAGGCACTTTGAGAGTGGGGGAGGGGGGACCTTACCACTAGACCAAACTATGTTTGGTGTTAAATATGAAGCTTATGCTAATGTATATTTACGAAGTTTTATTTATTATTATTATTTTTTTATGTGTATGATGCTTTTGATGCGGAGATGATACGATGAGTTGGTTGTCTGAATCAATAATTGTTCATGTCTTTAATGACAATAATAAAGTCCCGTTGGTATAATTACTATACCAATAGGGAAAATGATTTTGACACACCTTATGTGAGAAGAGCATAGAAAACTGTGCTCTCACATAAAGGTGTGCCAAAATCATTTCCCCAATATGAGGTTTAAATATACTAACATGATTATTGGTATTTTTAGACTTTATGTTGGTACAATTACTATGCCAACATGAAGTATAAGTGTTCCAACAGACACTTGTTATTGTCATTCATGACAAAAGTAATTATAGACATAGACTTCCTCAAAGTCACACTTTAAACTGAAAAAGGGTAGTGGTTAGATAGTGTATTAGTGTAGGTTGTACTTTGGTAGATTAATTGAGATAATACCTTCAGATTTCTCATTCCACGTACTTGAACTGAACTTCCTATGATGCTAATTGCATTAATTCAAAAGTGTGTTTGAATTTAAAGATAATTGATTTTAATGTACAAATAAATCAATTCACATTAATAATTTATTGCCTACAAAACTTTAATTATTATTTTTTAACTTTTATCATAAGCCTTTTTTTTTTTTTTTTTTTTTTGTGTAATTTTAAATTTAACTTGTGATATGATAACTTTATGTGGTGTGTTTTATATAATAGAAAATTCATCCTTTATATATGCCCTATCATAAAAAAAATGGAAATAATATAAGCGAGTAACATAGCACGTTTCTGTTGTGTAAACAACCTGTTGGGCAACTATAACTGGCACGAGCTTAAGAAAAACAAGAAAACACCCTCATAATTGTGTTTTAATCCTTTGTCATGAAAAGAAGATCCTCTAACATTAGCTAGTACCCGTACGAGTAGCTGCTTTCCAGGGACTTGCACTTGCTTCTTTTAGAGAAGGCTTGGCTCTACTATTTCTATCCAACGCCCTGGTTATGCTATAAGGACTAACTGTTATAACCGAGAAAGTGCTTATGCCGACACTAACAAGTGACACACCAACTCGGAAGTAAGGAAAGAGGGGGTATGGCAACCAAGCTACCTGACTATTAGCAGATCAGCTACTCTAAAGGATTACACTTGTTTTTAAGCTTCAACCCGAAACACTCTTATGATTATGTTTTATTACCTAAAAATTAATCAGATTATCAGAGCTACATTATCACCAATATACCAGCTTTCGAAGAAAAGAGCCATGAGATCGGTGGAGTATAGTTTATTGTCTTCTTGTAATGTGCAGACATATAAACCTGACTAATTTTGCCTCAAATCAGGGAGAACTGTATTTTGTCAAGTCCTGCTCTGCTGCCTCTGCAAGAAGAAGCTCATGATACTAAACTGGACTGAGCTGATGTGTAATCTCTGATTAGAAAAGCGTGTAACTGAAGCACGTCCCAAGTTTCAGGTCTGAACTACTGCCAGTATATTGGCATCTTGACTAGGACCTGGCGCAATTGCTGTCGCAGTTGAATTTAAGCCGAAATACTATCCTGTTATAATCAACTAGTAATGTACATGATGTCCTCCTTTTGAATGGGCTTATCGCTGTCGCCCTTTTTCACAATTCGCTTTTGCTTTTGGTCTGGTTGGCCTCGCTAAGATGAAACAGAAAAAGAATCTCAGAATATTATTAAATATATCACTTGATTAATCAAAAAGTAGTAGTAGCATTTCATAATAAAGATTAAAGCAGGTGCATAGATTAGACCAAAGAAAGATAAATTGACAATTGAGACTTTTTTTTAGAGCTAGAGGCATAAAGGGAAAAAGGCTGTGAGGAAATATTCAGAACGTACTCTGGTATAACCTCCTAGAGACACTGCCAATATCTAGAAGAGGGGGGGGGGGGGGGGGGGGGAGTGTATACGACTATTCGGGTAAGGCTGCCTGGCCACTTTTAAATCTCGATTGTTAATTACGAAGTATTTGGAGTATGAAGTAAAATTAGTAGTACCACACCCCAGTTTCCTTAAAGTGGATAGAAAGTTTAAGAAACATGTACTTTACGCTTTTACGCTAGAGTAGAGAGTCTTATAGCAATCTATCTGAGAGATATTTCATAGTATGATAGTAATGCTGAATCAACACAACATGGTTTACCTTTTTCAGCACAAAAGCCAAATATAAGTAAGCTACTTCCCACTCATCTGGTGATAATGTGCCTGAAATCAGAGACAGTTAGAGAAATCAATATTATGGAAAGTGGCACATGTAAAAGAAGACCTTAAGTTACCAAATTTGTGCATAACAGGAGAGGCATACAGAAAAGAAACCATTCAATGTCCAACAAGCATTTTGTTTATTTTTCTTTGTTACAATCTTACAAGTTATTACTACTGACTGGGCGGGAGGGAAGATGATCACGAAGTACAGAACTCACTATTATCATGGGAATCACCCAAAGCACCCAGCCTCCTCATAAGCTCAACAAACTCAGGCTTTTTCAAATATTCTTCAACAAATTGATGATTGTTTTTTGCAAACACTAGCTCAAAGTCATACTGCACATAGAACCAGTAGCATCAATGAAACTTGTTCCTCCACAACCACAAGGCAAGATATATATTTCAAGATCAAGCATTCTAACAGTATCAGAATCTCCAAAATGTGGATAAAAATTGGAGAAAAATAAGGTAGTGCCAACTGGCAACATATGCTACTTCTCAACATGTAAGAGTTGAAAAAAGCCAGATTAACCATGAATTTTTCCATTGAGAGCATCCGTATAGGTTAATTGCATAGTTAAGAAAATGGAAATAAAAGTAAAATAACCATAAGATCTGTAAAAGCAAGTTTGCAGGAAAAGAACTATTACGGAAAGGTGTAAGCTACGATGTATGAATCTATAATAACTAATATTAAAGTAATTACCACTGACATCATAACTATCCACGTGACAGCTTCTTATAAAAAAATTTCCCTCCAAAACTATTATTGACATCATTCTCTTTATTTATTTATTTTTTTTCACGGTAAAACTAATGTTTGGAAATGATTGACTAATTATATATTTTTCTACAAGCTTTTAGGACTAAATAGACTAAATATACAATTTCTATTCAAATGAATTAAAATTAAATAATTGACGGTTGGTCTCTTTCACATTTTTTTTTTCTCCTACGTAGTTTTTTCCTTAAAAAAACAATCTCCTACATTTTACTGTAGTAGTGATTGTAAATTTTGGATTTTGCACTCTTCGTTAATTCTTCAAATTTTCTATAATAAATCAAAGGAAAAATTGCCCGGAATAATCCCACCTTTGGGGCGTCCGCTAAAAATAATCCCACCTTTACCCCCAATCTACTCCCAATGGTCCCAAAGTGACCGGTTACCTATTAAAAAGGTAATTTTTTATTTTGGGTTTAGAGTGCACGTGTCACCATACAATTTGTCTAAAATTTTAAATTAAAAAAAAATGAATTTAAAAAAAAAAAAAAAAAAATAGGGAGCAGCCAGCCACCCCCTCCACCAGACCACCAGCCCCAGCCACCGCAATACTCTACCAGACCATTAGATCGGAGCTCGCGTGATGGGGGAAGGAGAGAGGTGGTCTGAGCGGCCGAAATCGAGGCAAGGGAGAGTGATGGGAGGCCGAAATCGTGGTTTCGTGACAGAGGGAGGAGGTTCAGCCACGCCAGGTTTCGTGACGGAGGGAGGAGGTTCGAGGGTGGTTCAGGAGAGGGGGTTCAGGCACGCCTGGTTTCGTGAGGGAGGGACGGGATTCGAGGGTGGTTCAGGGGGAGGGGATTCTGGTTTCATGAGAGAGGGAGGGGGTTCGAGGGTGGTTCCGGGGAGGGGTGGCAGGGGAGGTCGGCGCGCCAGGATCGGTGGCAGGGGAGGTGGTTTGGCTGGTGTGTGGTTTCTAAAATTAATTAATTGTTTTTTTTTTTAACTTTTTTTTAAAAAAATTTAATTTTATTTTTTGGACTAATCGGTTGCTGACACGTGTCAAGTAACTTGCTATAACAAGTTAACTGACCGGTTGGGACCATTAAAAAAGATCGGGGGTAAAGGTGGGATTATTTAAAAATAACTCAAAGGTGGGATTATTTTTAGCGGACGCCCCAAAGGTGGAATTATTTCGGGCAATTTTTCCTAAATCAAAAACTAATGCTAACATTTTAATATTTTTATTATAGCTATGAAGTTAATTAGAATAATTAACATTATCATGTCTTTCATTTTACCTCCATTAATCTAACGAGAGGGATCACAATTTATTATGTTTTGCTTAAAATATTTATATAACACACTTACAAGTAATTTTTTTTTTTTTTTTTTTTTTTTTTTTTTTTTATCATTAAAACCGTACTAACCTAGTAAGATAATAAGACAGCATCCATGGAGGATATTCTGATGCATAAAAGGGGTGAGATTGGTTCTTCTACACTTTAATTGACGGTTTCAGAAAAATGGTTCATGCTCAATTGCTCACACAGTTTGACAATGAAAAAAGGTTTAGGATCTTGCATGAAAACGACATGAAGGCATGTGAATATCATTTGGAGCTTATTCTACATGCTAACAAGTTTTTTTAAACAATTTACATCATATCCTTTACACCGTTGTTTATTCAATACTGAGCGGTCGGCAAACAAAGCTACTGGGTAGACCATAGATGATTCCTAATAACAAACTGTTCAAACAAGCAAGCTTGCTATTGGTCTAACAACCCAGCACATTTCTGAATTTGAACGAATGGCTAGAAGGAGACAAAAATGTTATGCTGACTGAAAGAATGCCATAATGTAATCAATACCTCTTCTGCCAGTGACTTAAAGACAGGGAAAGGGACAACCCATTCAGGACAATCAACAGCATCCTGCAAAGGGATATTAGGAATTCCATAAGACACAATTCTGAGAAAGGCAAGAAAATAGATATTGGTTGTGATAAAGCCTTGAAACCTGTAGATTTCTACAAAACCCAAACCCAGAGAAAAGCACTTCTTTTTCTTACAAAGCCTAAATGATTACACCACTCCTATTTGGGAAACTTTTGGATCGATAAAGATCTAAAATTATTTCATGAGGTCAAAGATAGGTTTCCCAAGAACCCCAACAAACTTTGCAGCAGACCAGTCATTTAGAATGCTCAAACCTTGGTTAGATAGAGGCCACCTATCTCTGAAAATGGATAGTATTAATTGTGAAGATGAATTTGAATACATAACAATTTTAATGAAATTATATGGAGCATTTCCCAAACAGGTTATATAATCATGCAAGCAGAGTTCTCACAAGATAGCAATGTCAAATGAAAAATTGACAAATCAATACCTCTAAGTGAAACTTGTATCGGATACCAAAAGGACTGGTTGCTTTAAATTTCTGAAGCCAAAAAAAGTTATTAGTCATATAAAGTGACGATTTCAAGCAACCATCATAGAAGAATCATGAAAAAAGAGCATTGGCAATAGAAAAGAAAATAAAAAAAAGAGAGAGAGAAAGAGAGAAAAGCACCTTATCAGCATAATCCTCATCAAAACGTATCCAGTACACACTATTTCCAAATTGTAAACCTTCCGCTGCATGTTATTCAAGGAAAATTAGGATCTCCTGAAGCAGAGTAATAATTTGGGACGAAATAGAAGCATAACATGAAACACTCTTTAAACAAAGACACCTCATCCTAAAATAGTGCAACACTGCTAATATAACTTCCTGTTTCAGCTGTGTACAACTACTCCAACTTCCATTACAAGTTGGATTGTTATACTTCAATTCAGTGCAAACTTATCAACCACAACAGCATGAAGGACGGCTGAAAGGTACAACTCAAAGAATAGAGAACAAATCAGCATATGATCACACACATATGCAGATATAGTAGATCCCTAAAGCCTAGAAATTGTATCACTTGACCACATGAAAACCATTACATGATCAATTATTTATAATCAAGAAATGCAAATATTGAATTAGTAGGGACCCCGGAGATGATTTCGTTTTCTAACTATAATCTAAACTCCATGTCATGCATTAGCCCAACTACTAGAAAAATGTCATGGAATAGACAATTTTAGACATCTTTTGGTATGATGTATCATCATAAATATATGTTCTGACAATATATTGGATAAATAAGGACATAAAAACATATAAGCATCCAAGTCAAGCTTGTCACAATATAGTAAGCAAAATTGTTCATCAGAACATCTTTTAAAACCACTAACATTGAGAAATGCAAAACTATTAGTCTCAATTTTCAAACATAAAACTTAAACAAAGGAGCTATTACCAGGCTACCAGCCAATTAAAAAACATTTTTGTAAATTATAAACATAAAAACCTTAATCAAAAAAGTTAATAAATTTTATAACAGTAATTAGCTTATGCATACCAAACACTCAAGCAGTGTAAACTTAAAACACTATCATCAATATACAGTTAGGATGTAAGGGAGTAAAGAAAAGATAATCCTGAGAGCCAGGTGGAGGTGGATAATGCCATACACAAGAGTTTGTAGGAATCAATGCTCAATCTCTGTGCTCTCCATTAAATTTGGTTGCCTTTATATGTTTCTAAGTGGTTGTTTGGTTTAACATAGGAACTTATTTTCCCATGTTCCAATTCCTAGGAGGTGATCAAAGTTTTTTAGTTGATCATGGGAAGTAAATTTCCCATATAAAGTTCGACTTACTTAGGGAAGACCAAGTAAGAATATCCTCCATTAAGTGGGAACTAGAAATTCCTATGTTTTACTCAACCAAACAACTCTACAATCTTCCAATTTCCATGAACTTCCACTGCCCATGCACTTTAGTATCAATCAAGCAAAAATTTATTAGAGTAGTGGCAGAAGTACAGAAAAACTGATAGCCTCACCCATCAGCAAATATATTCATAACACCAACTTCTACCAAAAAATAGTATCACAGTCAGTCTATTAGTCAGTTCATGTAAGCAAACAATTGTTCGGACAAAGCAAGAATTATGTAAAATGAAGTTTTGTGAATTTCAGACAGAAATAGAACTACAGAAGGGTCAAGGACCACTTTTACATACGATTTTAGCTTCAGAAATGCTAAAAAGGACTGCACAGTATTATCTTATCTTGGAATATAGGATCACCTTTGCGTGTGATGTTTAGTGTGAGAAATGCTAAAATATTGAAAATCAATACATTTGCTTGAAAATTTCACTATTTCCCACGAACACAGAGTCACAAACAGAAGCAAAAACTAAAAGAAAGAAGAAACCTTCTCTGAACTTCTTGACAATAACATTGGCATCAGGCATTGTTCCAATTAAGATGCCACCTGGTCGAAGCAATGCTGTAATATTAGCCAAAGCTCGCCGTGCACGTGCCTCAGTAGACCATGAATAATGCAAGGCAAACTGCAGATATCAAAGAGTTTCAAATGAAAGGAGTTCAGTTTACCAATACAAAAGCATCTTCTATAACTAAGAACCTAAGTACTCATGATCCATAAGGAAATAGACAAGGACCAGACTCTAAATCTAAGGGATATGCAATTTACTGTCAAAATGTTCACCCTTAATTAAGATTAGCCTAGGTCCAAAGTTACATGAAATTGAGAAATTCATGATGGAATTACGGGGAAAAAAAAAAAGAAAAAAAAAAAGAGAAAGGAAAAGAAAAGAGAGCAGCCAATCTGCTAACAGGTCTATTCAATAGCAATAACTTACGCTGAGTTAGGTTACTAACAGAGAAAACCCTCAGACTGGTGAAGTCTAAATTTGACAAGATAGAATAAACTGTGACTCAGCTGTGAAATATAACCCACCTGACAACTGCAAAGGTCAAAGGGGCCATCCTCTGCCAATACTCTGTCAAGCTGAACCTGAAATTATCAGCATATAATAAGAAGCATAATTAGCTATGTCCATTAAAGATTCAGTAGTTGATGATATAATGAGCTGCTAAAAGACACATTTAAGTTAGATAAATATAACTTGTAATCAAACAGAACTTCACAATTAAAAAATTGCCAGTCAAAACTACCTCAAAGCAATCACCACATAAGAGGCGTGCAGGGAACTTAAACTTTTTACGACGCGAATTCTTATCCGCATCACCATTATACCTTGTACGGCAATCTTCAATCTGCACAGTCTCTAAAAGTAAGCTACATTGCAATTCATTGAAAAATTGCTTGAACATAGTTGTCAGACTAGATAGTGATCAAAGAAGAAGTAAAAGTTATGACATACTGAGCCTTCAGCAATATCGATTCCAACATAATATCCAATCTTAGCCTTGTCCCATTTTATAAGATCCCCACCCTAACACACGGTGAGGTATAGAAACAATTAGAACTTTGCTGAACGATCACACGATTAAATTTTAATCACTAACAAAGATAAAACCAATGCTACCTTTCCACATGCAAGATCAAGAACAGCATTCCCAGGACGGGCATAAAGCTGAATTAACACACTTTTTATCTGCAAATCAGAACAAATGTAAGAAACTTTCATCACAAACACTACAGAAAATCTCATTTATACATTCTTTACAAAGAGTACCCAGTTGTTAAGTTTCTTCAAATGGATAATTGGGCTCGCTTCTCGTTCTTCCAATGTCTGGTTAGTTCTTGAACTGTAATGATCAGCTACATTCCGAGCAGAAATTCTTGTACTCTCATCCTCAAGGAATTCCCCATCTCCTAAAATATCACTAACAAGATATTATTCCATGGACCAATATACAAAGCCTTACCATATAAAAGTATTAAGTTACACCCTTTCTCACTATTTTCCTCAGACTCGGATACCCATGTCCGACATGGGTACGTGTCTAAATGTCCAACTCGGCTATTTCGTGAAATTTCCATCAATTTGAACTAAAAATAGTGTCCTACCCATGTCTAAGTGTTGAGAGGGTTCGACACGGGTACTTTAGGTAAAATATACGGTCCGAATAACATAGCTTTCTCATCTACAGGACGTAAATTACACCCAAGTGTAGGATGAAATTAGCCACAACGAATTGTTCCCTCAAAACAAAAAAAAAACCACAATAATTCCGATTTCCAGATATTCTAATACACCTTATAGTTATAAGGTTACACCCAAGTGTATAATGGAAATTGTGCGCAAAAGCAAAATCTTTCTCTTAAAAAATAAAAATTAAAAACTGCAGTTGTAATTTCCACAGCTTCTGGAGTATTCTAGATTGATTATACTCAACACTTTTCAAACTAAGTGTAGCAGAGATAACATTCAATCAATTGTAAAGCAAGAAAACAAGAACAACAGAATTAACAGAAGAATTTATAAATTAAGATGTTATACATAACCCTAAATAAAATTAAAAAGAAAATCAAATAATAAAAATCAAAACTTTGTTACAGAAAATGCACAAATACCTTGTGGGTTGTGTTTAAATCGAGATTGAGGAGGGCCAGAAGATGAACCTTCGTAGCCACGTTTCATGATGGCAAAAAAAAAAAAAAAAAAAAAAAAAAAAAAAAGGGGGTATTTAATTCAATTATAATTGAATGTGGGAAATTGAGAATAATAAAAACCCTGGAATAATTAAGCTCAGGTGTGTGTGACAGAGAGAGAAAGAGTGTTTAGTTGGAGGGAAACAACAAACAATAGAGACTAGAGAGAGAAACAAACTGATTACGGATACTCCGAATGTGTTTTGTGGAACAATCCACGGTTACGACTTACGAATTACGTAGAAATTCAAAGAAACTTGATTTTTCCACTTCACAATTTTATTAATTTTTTTTTAAAAAAGTCCACTTAACAAAAACGAAATTAATTTTCCTTCTTATACATTTTAAAAAAAATTACTCTCCCCACAAAACCCCTTATTTTCTTCTCTCTCTTCAAACTTATACCCCACCACCTATTATTTTAATAAATTTAACTAACATTTCTAAAACTTCGTAAAAGTCAAAACGTTTTATTTATTTAAACAAGGAGGGAGTAGTTTTTTTTTTCCACAAGGAGGTAAAGGAGTTAGCCCCTAACTAGTTAGTCACTTTTAGAGGTAATCACGGGCCGAGCTAAGTTTTGCCCAAAAGTTGGCCCATTTTAATTCAATGCTTTGGTCGAGCCGGCCCAAACTTCGAGCCGAACGTACCCAAAAATCGTGTCCAAGCCCAAAGCCAAAATTTTAACCAAAGTGAATTTTAAGTTGCCTAAACCCCAAAAAAAAAAAAAATTTAAATCAGGTCGGGCCAAAAAATTATGCCAAAAATTAAACCTACCATTTTTTCGGGCAAGGTTGAGTCGAGCCAGTGGATTGGGCTAGCTTTAATCACGTCTAGTCACTCCCATCTTTCTTCTATATAAAAGTACACTTTGTTCGCCAAAATTAGCGATAGTGGGTAGCTTTTACAAGTAGATGTTAGTTGTCATCTAATGTTAGATGTCAAAGTATCCGTTCATAGTATATTTTGGCAAAGCAATAGTTGGCATACTAATAAAAAGTAAATCAATTTATCTAATGTTATTCGTTTTCCTTTAAAACGCTAATATATACGAAGTATAACTGTTGACACCGAAATCTTGTTAATTATTAGGTGTCAGATATATGTAAATAAGGAGATAATATCAAAAAATATAAGATATTTATCTTCAAGATCTCGTAAAATATTTTATAGCTATCTTGTTTACTACTCTACGACATTCTATATAAAGAGAGTCGTTTCTAGGGTTTAATTAGGCTCAAATGGAATAAGTCCATTGTAGGTCCATAGTATGTAATAAGCCGACAAGGCCCTGTACTACAAACAAATATCAAAACCCTAGCCCATTGGAGAGAGGAATCAAGAGATCTATGAGAGTTGTATCCCACAATTTATTAATGAAATTATTGTTTCCGTATATTTTTCTACCTCTTTATTTGTATATGCAAGTTTGAATTTTTCTGGTTTACAATAACGCTTGAGAAATGCTACTGAAACAGTACACAATTACCTCTAACAATAACCAGTACTCAAAAAAATATGTTGCCAACACTCCAAGTATTGTGCTTTGACCTAATTAAAATGTTACCTACCTAAAATGCTATCATCGAACACACCATTGGTATAGCTTTTGTAATATTCACATACTCTCTTTTAACCATTTCTTGTGATTATACATTATGAAAACATAGCATGTGCAATAATCTTGTATTGATCGTCTCGATAGATATAATCATAATATCTCGAAGATATTGATTCATAAAATTATGCATTGGTATGTGATAAATGAAATAAATCAAGTAAAAAAACCAAAAGAATTATGCTTATGTACATGTGTTAGATACTTAGACTCTACTCCGTACTACATATATTAGATCATACTAGGTCATTTCGACTTTTCGAGATAGATTTAAGAATCCTGCATTTGAGAATTGCAGTTTTCCAATAAGATCCTCACAAATTCACTCCTTTAGATAAACCCAATTGATATGGAGATCCATGATTATATTCATAAAAAGCAACCCAATCATGCGAATGCTGTGGCAGAAGCTTGATATAAATATACTTATTGAAATCTACATCAGCAATTGGGGATGTAGCTCAAATGGTAGAGCGCTCGCTTTGCATGCGAGAGGCACGGGGTTCGATCCCCCGCATCTCCATTTTTGGCGCGTGTATAAAAATTATTAAATTAAATCCAATATTTTGCATATAGAGACAATGTTTGGCACTTAGTATTATTTTGTCTAAAATCTTCTTCATGCATCTTGAGAAAAAAGTAATTGGATGTATGCAAAGATTGTCATTTTGTTAATTAAGTTGCTATTGTTTCAGTTGTGTTGGCAGAATAATCTTGTAAAACACCATTTTAACACAACTGTCTGTATGTCAGCAGTTGTATACTGATATATTTGTATATGTGTATTGACGAAGAACCTTTTAGAAGAACAAAAGGCCAGAATATATATTGACTTCTTTCGAATATTATGGGACATAATTGATTATCAAGTACAAGTGTTCGTTTGATTAACAACACAAAACCCGAGAAGTCCATACTCATCGAAGCATGATTATTGATAACTCTAGAGGAATTTTGGAGTAGACGTCTACTTCGAAACTAAAATACAGAAACGCCAAATATGATCATTAAATCATCAATCATTGCCTGTTACAACCAAACATGAATTTAAGTAAAGTCTGATGACTTTTTTTCAAGTGTATAGTATATGTACATTATTTGTTACAACTTCAAAATGATTTGGTTTTGTACAATCACATATATAATTCATGAAGATAAGATATCAACTGTCAATGGCATCTTGTGACCCTAAAATTGGTACCAATCTTGACCATTTGAGAATTTCTTTCTTTTTTGTAGTATTCTCTCTGTCTTGTTATGTACATTGAGCCAATGTATATACAAGTTGAAGAACGAAAGATGTACATAATAGAAGAAGAAACAAAGCAAATTAAGTTAGGAATCTTTGTGAAGATTATTACCATCGTGCCTCAGGAAATTTTTGAACCACTTGACAGAATGCTTAGGTATTCTCGTAAGGTTGTTCTTGTAATCCACATAGTATAGTCCAAACCGATGTGTATAGCCAAGATTCCACTCCCAATTATCTAGCAAAGACCATACAAAGTATCCTCGTACATCACAGTTATCTTGCCTGGACATTTATATCAAATTAGCACATCTTCTACAAAAAATAGAAATTAAAAATAAGCATAGAACTAAGTTTCGCGTATACCTTATTGCAGCAGAGAGATTTGAGAGGTAGTCTCTATGGAAACCTATTCTTTTATCATCTTGCAAAGCATCATTTAAGGCTACATGTGGCCCATCCTGTTCATCCATGCCTGGCACAATTTAAACTTTTATTAGTCTAATTGTTTACAGTAAACATGAAACATTATCAGAGTTGATGCTATACTATGAGCTAAAACTAGAGTAGCAGAAAGTTTACCATTTTCAGTAATGAACATTGGTAGGTTGCTATACCTATCCCGCACATACTTTGTCAATGAACGCAGTCCCCATGGCACGATGGCTAGCCACCTTGAAGCAGCCTAAGAGAAGAACATTACAGTGTAAATTGCCAAAACCATTGGTATAGATTATGATTGGAGAATAATGCAGTACATATGCCAGAAATATATAGGGAGCTTACCCTTTCTCCGATTGGCACACCAAACCTATAATCTGCATTCAAAGATAGTAAAAAATTTATCATATTCAAAATCATTGTTAGCAAATTAGCATCACTAGAAATAGATGTTAAAGGGACTTACGAGAAGTGATGACTGCAGAATCAGTTGAGGCATCTTGAAGCACAAATTTTCTGAATCGTGTTCTGTCATTTCGAGCATACAATGTTGTGTAATGGTTAATGCCAACAAAATCCAATGACTTAGTCAGTAGTATGGATATCTCAGGTGTGATCTCAGGAAGCCTGCCTCCCACAAGCTCCTGCATCGAATTTGGATAGTGACCAAAGAACAGTGGATCAAGGAACCTGATCATTTTACATTCTTAGTGTTATACAGACAATACAATTTATATCAGTACAATCTTACTAAAAAACAATATACAGAGTTAAAGCAATCACCATCCAAGCGAGAAATCCATAGCCCGTTGTGCAGCATCTGTGTCTTCTTTTTTACTTGTTATTGGCTCATACCATTTTGCATCTAATGCAATCCCAATTAACCCTCCTTGTCTTTCCTAGCAAAATGAACAGCATTTCCTTTAATGTATTTGCCTCATGAATCCTAACTAATGAGACATATACTAGGAGTACATTATAACTCCTTCCGTCTTATATTAATCTATACCTCAGAAATTTCAAATCTGTATGGAAACTAGGAGAGCCAAAAAGGAAGAGAAAAATTTAAATGGGAGTATGGCTCAAAACTTAAAAGTATAGTAGGCCATAAAAAAAGTTAATTTCAAGAGAGGAATGAAGTAAAAAGGACATACTTACTATGAAAAGAATGTATGGAGTAATTGATTACCTTGAATTTTTTTTGATAAGTATGGTAGACAACAGCATGAGAGAGGAGGATATTGTGAGCTGCCACATAAGGCTCAACGGATGATTTTCCCTTCTTACAAACCAAATGACCAAGAAATGAGCATCTTCCAGGAGCTTGTACACCAGAATCATAGCCACTGATAGAGAAACCATGGGGCTCGTTGAACGTGATCCAATGTTTCACTCTATCCCCAAAAGCTTCAAAGCATGTTGATGCAAAATTCTCGAAGTCTTTACTGGAGAAGCAATTTGATTGGGTCCATCAAGCACATTAGTTGGAATTCTAATACCATACGATTACAACAAGTGAATTAATACTTATTAGATAAATGGTACTCACATTACTTGATTGTCCAACCATCCTTCATAACGGTCTTCAAGAGCCTGTGGAAGATCCCAATGGTACAAGGTTACATAGGGCTGAATTCCTGATTGACAGATATTTTGTTAATGCCATTTTCGTTATAGAGTAATAACTTTTTTTTCACAATCTACTACTACATATTATCTCTGTCCGGATTTAGTTGTCACAAAGCTAGTTTATTAGACTACAAGTTTGACAACTAATTCCGAATGGAGAGAGTACATGCTCATTATTATAACTTAGTCACCTTTCTCAAGCAAAGTATCAATAAGATTGTTGTAGTAATTTATTCCTTCCGGGTTTGGTTCTCCTGTCCCATCTGTGATGTAAAAGGAAGAAATTGATTAACTTTTGTTGTTAAGAGTTGTCAGACTATATTTTTCAATGCTTTAGAAAATATTTGACTTACTATCAAAATCATCAACAAAACATAAAGAATGAAGAAGAGAAAGGTATAGTATGATGATGGACTCCTAAACCAAAATTTTATTTTTTTGGTATAGACTTTTTACAGAAATCTTAC